TATATATATATATATATATATATATATATATATATATATATATATATATATATATATATATATATATATATATATATATATATATATATATATATATATATATATATATATATATATATATATATATATATATATATATATATATATATATATATATATATATATATATATATATATATATATATATATATATATATATATATATATATATATATATATATATATATATATATATATATATATATATATATATATATATATATATATATATATATATATATATATATATATATATATATATATATATATATATATATATATGACAATGGCAATTATCAAATATATATGTATACCTGTAGATATATCATAAAATTTCAGTAGGTTCATAGATTGCATGATCTTTCTTACGCAATAGACATAGTCTACGTTTATAAACCATATGTGTTTATGAGTTTCATAGTACTAAAAATGCGATAAAAAATGAATAGAATTTCAAACTATAATCTCTCGTTTTTCTTCTTCTTTCGTTGCCGTGTTTTGTTAAGCAGTAACAGAAAACGTAGCGGTTAAATTGTTTATTCGTTTATTCTTTACTTTCCTCTTGGCTGGTTACTTGTTTCTATCGGAGAGATACCTTTCATTCTTGTTGTTCCTTTTACGGCATAACACCATCTTAACTAACACTATCAAGAACCAACGAATTAACCGATTAAAAATGAATGGAAAACTTTTCTACGGTTCCAACTGACAGCGATATAGGGCTACAATGTCCAACTGCTGAAATGTTATTAAAAATTACAGCGACGTTCTATACGAAATAAGTAATATGTAAGAAAAATGTGTAAGAATGAAGTATGTAAATTATCGAAAGAATTTCAAAATATCGTAGCAAATCGTAACAGGAACAGAATTCGATAAAATCATAGCGTGAATTTCCGATAACAGATTGTATAAATGATTGTATACATTACATTACCGTAGTTAGAATTCTGAGCTTGATAATATCTCAAATGAGAATGCATTTTGCATATGTATTTTCCAGCACAGCAGCAGTTGGTTACTCGCGCTGTTTTATAATATTAATGTAGTAGGATGTGAATATGATTAATGTTTCGTAAGATGTATTTTTCACACATACATATGTATATTAAACTCATAAGTAGATACCGCGTGTTAAACATCATGCGATTGTAATATTGCCAAAGTAATATGTATAGAGATTATAATTTACAGCAAATATTGGTACAATCGTCGACGATGCGGGAAACGAGAAGAGATCTCGTGAAACAACGATTCTCCCATATGGAATTCTTTATTACATTTCCAAAGTTCATCCATATTTAAAATTAATATGTGTTATAATTAAAACTGTGATCTATATAAAACAGTTGAACGAATTGCAACGAAATTCGAATCGAAACTAGTATGTAATAAGCTTAGCATTCGAACAGTTAGAAAAAAGGCGAAGAATTAAATCTAGCAGCTCGCCTTATGTTTGAATGCAACGTAAATTTATATCTTTATATTTATTTTACATTGATGTAGCAAGTTTAGTAATATGATTTTTTATGAAAAAGACGACCCACGTCGACGAATAGCATATCGGTGAACGAATTTGCATCGAAATGCATAAAATAGCCGTAAAAAGCTGAGGATGTCCTGTACAGAATTAGAATTAGCTAGTAACTATTCACATCACAGCATATCGCAGCTGTATTCATAGAGTTAGCGTGGTTATTAATCGGTATCTATAAAGTAAATTCTGTTGTCATTTAGAAACGATTAACTGTCATACAAAAGGATATTACAAGCTGACAACGAACCTTAGACGATCGAGAAAGTAGAGCGAAATATTATTGTGTTTCGTACAATCTTCAGGTCTGAACCCATTAACTTTAGAATGATATAAATCGACGTCGAAAAATATATTAACGTAAAGTATCTAAGTAAAATGCTTGTCGAGGAACGATAGAAAATTTCAATCGAGCATCGTCCACGTGTAATTTATTCAATGCCACATCGTTGTAAGAATCTTATTCGTCAAAAAGAAAGAGACTTTTCCGAACAAATCTAGCCTGATTTTTGTCTTCTACCACAGTTGATAGATTCTTGCTTTCTTACGCAAACAAAGCTACCGTTATTGTTTGCGTTTTATCACCACTCGTTTATCACTTTCCCATTGCATTCGTTATTTCAGGAAAGGACATCGTTGCCATAGGTGTTATTCGATAAAATAACTTTCGAGCAGTAGTTCGAGTACGTTATTAGGCTCGATTGACACCAAGTACAGAACGCGAGTATCGTGACAATCGATCGACGATCGATATTTGATACGATGATCGGCACACGGTCCCTCTTTTGCATAATAAAATTACTGGCTAATCGTAGCGATGATTTCTTTTTAATAAGCAATGTTATCGCGTTCCTTTGCGCTCGCGGACGCATCAAGAACGAGCCTCGACGACCCTCGATAACATTAATTAGACGTATTTACAAGCTCGCCAACAACAATTACATTTGTTGGCCAACGATCATTTCCCCTTGAATCGTCGCGCCGCGCTTAACTTAACCGATAACCCCGTCGAATTCGGAATACACATACATATTACAGCGATGCGTATCAACTTTCCTTCCTCTGTTTAGCTCCATTTCACACAAAAAAGGGTTTTCATTGGGCCACGAATACAGAAGCACGCTGGCTTTTTTCTACGATACACTAAATATCAACTTCGATTTCTTTCTATTTCTTCAATTAAGCCTTACATCAGTGAAAAAACAATACAAGAGCATTTTTCCCAAGAACGAGACACATACGAAATATGTGTATATATGTGACATACGTATCTAAATGTAAATACGACTTTATCGTATATTTTTTCACTTTTACGAGTACAAAAGTCTATGTGTTTTAACGTTTAGAAACATGCAAATTTCTCTATTAAACCATTTTAAGATTAAACTATTTTAAGTTACGGTTTCCTCGAATTAAATATCGTTTAGTATCACTTGTATCACTTTTCCTACGAGTTTCTCGGTTTAGTGTGCAACAAATCTTTCAGATTGGCTACTAGGGCAACACAAACATCGTAAAAATTTCAAGTTTTCAAAATCATTACATTTTATTTGAACGCGAATCAGCTGGTCGTGTATTTCGGAAAATTTAATTACACCCACGTGACATTGAATGTTATTAAATATAGTTTGAACAGATCGCGATCCGCTGGTGGTTGTTCATAAATTGTCGTAATTATGAAATCGCCGGTGGAACCGTCGAAACTCCCGCCTCGTCGCACACTGTCAGTTTTCATTACAGGATCGACGCGTACCCGGTTTTCCTCCGATGCGTGATTTTCCACCACAGATACGAATCCGTACGAGCACGTTCGTGCAAAATCTTTCAAACCTGCCGCGTCGTCCGCGTTTATTTTCATGGATCGGTAAAAGATTACGGAATATGTATGTACGTCGAGCACATACTACGAACAGACATCGTTGGAAAGACAATTAAACAACGGACGAACCGCGCACATAATTTGTGATAAGATAAGTATGTACCTATCTGGTATAACAATGGCGATGCGGCAGAAAGCTCCGAAACAAAGTGTTTCAGATCATAAAGTAGTCGCTGGTCCGTAAAGTCCGTTGGTTCTTCGCTGGACAGAAGGCAAACGATCGGGACATAGAAGTAAATTTTAGTTGGTTGGAGTTTCGCTACAACGTTTCTACGATTGGAAATGTAGCCAGGCATAATATTTACCACGGTAGACGATGCACAGTTTTCAACATCCGCTACATATTAACGATGCAGTATGTAGGATCGTATACTCCGCTTAAAATGCATTTTACACCATTAATTTGCGAACCATTTGCAAACCATTGGGGTTCGACGAAAATTTCATTCGACCCAATTACGCGGAACCGTGTACCAGATGAGTTTATAGATCGTTCGTGATCGTCGATTCGCCGACGCGATGGGTGAATATCTTCATTTACCAAACTATCTTCGTTTCACCAAACTACTTCACCCTTACCACGACGCAGATTGCACTCTTTGAAATTTCCTCGACTGCAGCACTCTCTTTTCGCTACTTGCGAACGCTTTAAATCAAAGTTTCGACGCTTCCAAGCTTTCCTCGATCTCGATACGGATATTCGATAACGTAACGACGAGAAACGCTAGAGATACCTGTGTAACAACGTCAACAAGTCTTCCAAGAACTTGGACCAAGGTATATTAAAGAACGGAACACGTCCAAGTTCTTCATTTTACAACTCGCGACAACTTTCTCTCAATTTCTTTGAACAATTGAGTTTTATATTTTTACGTATGTACGTATAGTGTGCACGCATACACGCACGCATTTCGCCGATTCCATGACTCGAAGAATAGTTGGACAGTTTGTAGTCGCGAGGCGACACAACGTCGCGTTTCAATTTCACAAGCGCTTTGCTCCGGCAGCAATTCATCCGTTTCATCTATTTCAAGTTGTATTCGTTTATTTTTGCAATGGTAAATCTCAGATCTCGTTTCACGGTATCCGTTAATGCGTCGACAATTTATCATTTTATCGTATACGATACGATAGAAAGAGAAATAAGAAAGAGAACAGCGTTACTTCTTCGAAATGATTAATTTGTCACGTATTTTACAATAAAAATTTCACCTGTACACATAGATGGCAGGTAACAAGTTTCAATTGCTCGCGAAAAAGTAAAGAATATACGTTGTTATAGTGTTATAGTAACTTGGAAAACCAATTGTAAGTCTGCTCGATGTCACTGTTAATGGACGTGCTAAAGCCGAAGCTGTTTCTCACGGTCTATATTTTCATAACACTTTTTTCGCCGTATACTACCTACTTATCCTATACTTCCCTTCCATTTTTCTTAAGCACTTTTTCTTAAACATTATTCGTTCGTTTCCTACGCTCTTTCCTCTTTATTCTTTTTTTCTTGTGTTTTTATCAGTGGGAAGAAAAATTTTGCGACAAAAGACTCACCGGTATGTCAAGATCTCGACGTAAACTCGATTCGTTCGCGAATAATTTCACACATCAATGACGAAACGTCGTTCTTCGTGAAATGTTGCACGCGATTTAAGGGTTGCCCGAGCGGTACGGGACGCGCGCTTCCACGATACTGATCGACGACGTCTCGCAATACTCGCGCGTCGTGACGCGACGCGACGCGACGCTTGGACGCAGAGCGCGTACTCGAAACGCTAACCTCCTCTAGCCTATCCGTGACCAGCCACTGGAGCTCTATTGCCAACTTCTCTCTACTTCGAACATCGACTTTTCCTCCTTTTATACTTTATACCATTCTTCTCTTCATCTTTGTTACTATACTTGTATCTTCGTTTTTCTGCGAGACCCACTTATCGAAAGATAAGAGACCTACTTGTGTCTCGAGATTGTTCCTAGATAATTGTTCTCTTTCAAAATGATATATTGATCATAGTTTCCTTTGTCTGTTCGACATTTAGAATAAATCAATGAGATACGCAATTAAAAAGAGAAAAGTGAATCTCCTTTAATCTGACTCCTCAATTAATAAAACCAGTCAGTAGTGTTTTAAAATTAAACGTCTCTACGGTATTATATACCGGTTACACGTACATAATCATCGTTTTGTTGTCGAATATGTGTTTACGAAGACAAGCACGATACAATAAATCGAAACTTCTAATTGTATTTTGATATTTGCAAAGCCTTTAAACCAATGAAATGTCGACCGAAACGGTTATGCTGGTTATTAAGTGATTTCATTCCAAGAGGATTTATAAATTAATTAGAAACCTTTACGACCTGGATCTATACCATACTTGAAAATCTTTCCTACCTTTTCGTCACACGACCAAAATTAATGATATTTCCTTCGATTCAATAATCGCACGTTAAAGCTTCAAGGGATTTTTATGAAAGCAAAAACAAAGGAGAACGCACCAAAAGACAAAACGACGCAATGCCATTTCAATAACGGTTTTTTCGTTTCACGAACGTGAAAAATAATTTTTCTATGAAACAATTCGACCACGGCATTCGTTTCACCGTGGTTGTTTGATTGCTCGCGTTATTTCCATTCGCACGGATCGAGTAACAATCGCCAACAGAAGCAAAGTTTTCTCTCTTGCTGTCATGCTTCTTGCAACTTTCAGCTAAAAATCACGCGCATCGCCATTCCTTCAAAATGAAAATGTCTTTTCCCTTTATGGCTCCTTTCCTGTAATACTAAATAATTTCTCAAAATTTCGTTTCATTCGCTATTCGCGATATTCTTCGCTTTCTCGAAAGCCGGACAAACATTTCAATCGGTTGTCATTTCAAATAGTTGTATGAATTGAAAGAAAATATCAAAAATCTAAAATTTGCTTCAATTTTCAAAATGCTGTTACGAAATAAATTTACGCGTAATTATATAATTACGTACTAACGCAAACAGAACATGCGAAATGGTTATAAACGTGTCTAGGTTTTAAGAACGCAGAGAGATAACAGATAAAATAGTAGACGCGTAAAGATAATGGATCTCTCGAACGATCTCGAGTATAAAAAGGTTTTCTGATGACTGTATTATGTAGTAAAACGTATATACAGTATTTATCGATCTATTATCTGGTAGAAATTATAACAGCCGCACGTATCTCTCATTCTATGTCTGAGATTTAACATATATAGCTATATATACGTATACCCCTAGATTCTAATCCTTTTAATTATCCCAACTACTTTAATTGCTAATAGTATCAAATTTTTTTGCTTTAACTACATTTTTTTCCGTTTACTACTTACTGCTAGGCATGTTACATTCCTATTTATTATTCATGCGAGCTATATCATTGATAATACACGTTCATAGCAGTGGCCTCCTGTTTCAAAATAATTAACTTAATCGAAAGGTCGTACGTGACAGGAGAGCTGGTTGGGTGGTAATGTTGAATCAACATACGAATCTGACGTCTTCGAGCCGGATAGCTCGATTATAACCATAACCGAATTGGCAGCGAGGAAGTTCCAATCAGGAATTATCGAGCTTTTGATCGACCGATATCGGTCGCATGGCAATATGTATGTAATTTTCAATTACTTGTGCATACGCTACGTTAGCCACACTTCAAATTTTCATTTTGTTCTTGATGAATACTTGTAATTTAAGCTACAGTATTGTACTTATTATATAGTTATTAAAATTATATTATATTATATTATATATTATATTATATATTATATTATAGAAAAATATGCGGGGAGAAAAATCAACTATTTTAACCGAGTTTTACTCCCTAACTCAAGGAACCTTCAAACATATCTATCAGCGGGCATGTTTTATTTTAATCATTTAAATACAATACGAATCGAAACGTAACAAAAAAGAAAATATATAAGTAGATCTCTTTAACAATACATTTACACCTTATAAACAAATCTCTTAGCATCTCTTAGAAAGAGCTGAGCAAGTAAAGCTATTAATACTGCTGCTTTAGAGATTACACATTCGATCGATTTAAACATAGTTCACCAAAGACTTGTTTCGTGATTTATTTCAAAATAAAGAACAATGTACTTAAATATTCAGAAATTAATCACTTTTAAATCTTATGGGATTTTGTATGGAAATAGCTCTTACAGGTACATACTTATACTTACTCCATACACTACATACTACATCGACATATACATACTTTCTTTTGCAATTCACAAACAATAACAACATTCAGGCTGAAAATTTTCGCGTCAATTATACTATTTATTATTATTAGAGCTAATAATCAAGGTGCTAATTGCCCGTTTATCTCGATATCATTAGGTTGTCCGAAAAGTTTCTTTCGTTTCATAAGCTGATAATAGACGAACAACAATTTCTGTTTTATATTATTTTATTGAATTAGATATGATCCATTTCGTTATATTTCTATTATTATGTTCGTGCATAATTACGTTAATGTACATTATTTCGGCCATTCAAGTTTACATATGTAAGCGTTCGAATACTTTCGTGAGCCACTGTACAGTGGACTGTCGTACAACGCGGTTAATACGTTACGCGCAGCATGAATTCGCGTTGTACGTGAATTTTTCTCGTATAACGCGCATAATCTAAAGTAATACGTTTGAACTGATTATTGCTATGCCAACTTCTGTTTTCTGTGTTTCATCAAATAGGATAGTATTTGAAAAATAAATGGCACATATACGAAGTTGATTAAAAATAATATATTATTAATGTACGTAAAAATCGTATCTTTTACTTTTTCTCTGCAATTCAGCTGATCTAACATTGCAACTTTTTCTTTAATAGAAATGCATTTCTGTTTTAACATTTTTTTCTTTTTTAATTTCATCCATCATGTCCTTAAATTAACTTCCTTTATAAACGTAATTTACAAAATACTTCTGTATTATGCATACATACGTATTTTAAGTGTAAGCTATCTCGAATCATGAATACATGACACTGATACGTTAGTGATACGTTATAGGAATTCGCGACACTGGCACGTTATAGGAATTCGCGTTGTAAAAACTTACGTTATACGGGAGTCTACTGTAATTAAGGAAATTACTGTTTTATGGAAGGCTGATGAGATTAGTATATTATTTCAATTCTTTATTCTCAATAATTCCACTGCCAAGCATATAAAAATATATGGCACCAAATTATACGTTATTACTACTAGTAATAGAATTAACATTCAATACGTTTTTGTTATCTAAATTTGATGTAGTTATGTAATATTAGAATGAACATAATAAAAATGTATAAAATATATAGATAGATATCTTTACATAATATTCTATAAAAAGTACCAAAAGAATTGTACACATGGATGTATTAAAAGTCTATAACGGAATATGTGTACATGTATTGTATATTTCATGAAATGCGTAAAAATACTGCTGTTAAACAAGATATCGTCTATTTAAAAAAAATTGATTAGAATAAAGTTTTGTACTTTAAAAGTATATGTTTAAATAATTCAAAATGCCATTGCATTGTACAAAATATTCCATTTATACGTATTAAATCTCTCCAATATATGTTCATAACTCTATATGGTCTTGAATTCTATTTTGTTTTTTAAATTCAATCTTTTAAAAAATATATATGGGTCGATTAGATTTTTTAATTAAAATTGTATAAGAGATTTCAGAAAATTAATGTTATTCTTTTTTTTCATTTCTTCTTTACTCTTACATTTGAGTTTATAAAAAGTAAGCTAATAGTGCAATCAATTTAGATACTTGATCCATTATTAACCATCGTTTTATTTCCTGGCGTAAAGTATATGGAATCTAAGAAACATTTTGCGAAATCGCCAACAATACTTCTGTCTGGTATGCTCTGACTCATTCCATAAATTGCAAACTGAAAAAGGATATTGTATATGGTATATTTATATAAAAATTACTTAATAGTTATATTTACCTTCCCATCAACAGGAGCTTCTGGATTTTTTAAGATTATACTTAATTCAGTTTCAACATCATTTAAAAATTGATCTGCTACACCTAATTGTGTATGGACATATGTAACACAAAGATGTATGCCACACGGGAACTGAAGTGTATTCAAGTTCCATCCTCTTACATTTAGAGCTTCCGAAAGTTTATAAATGTGAAAATCATTTGACCCTAATGCTATAACCGAGGTAGCCGGGGTACCAAAAATAAATATTCCATCCAACTTTCTCAATCTGCGATCGATTCCAAACATTCGATTATACAGTTTAACAGATTTGGCAAGAAATTCAAATACGTACCGTTGTTCAATATATTTAGTAGTTTCTATAATTTTCCTTGTCGATTCTAAATATTCATTATAACCAAAATACAATAACGTAGCCCAACATGTTGCTATAATTCCACCAGCTCTTGAACCACTTACAGTTGGTGAACCATATATACCACCAGGCCAATCGGTTGTTATAGTATATTGATAATGTCTTAACTTTTTATTTCTATAAAGAATAAGCGAAGAACCTTTCGGAGCATATGCATACTGAAAGAAACAAAATAATATAAAACACCTGTATTATTAAATAAAATTAATCAACATTGTATGTATAATTGTAATATTATTTATGTACTTTATGCGTATCAACCGATATACTTGTAACTCCAGAAAGTCTGAAGTCACAAGGTGGTACATTAAAACCTGCATTTGGCATGAAACAAATTAAAAATCCACCGAGACAAGCATCGACATGAACCGGAATATTGTATTTTATTCCTAGATCAGAAATTGCTTTAATGTTATCCATTGTTCCATACGGAAAGTTTGGTGCTGACCCTATTAACTATTATAAATATTACATTAATTCTAACGCATCAATTTGAATCTAATTTGAAAGTTATTTCCTATATACCATTATTGTATTCCTTGTAATAGCTTTTTCCATAGATTTAATACAAACAGTATAGCTATGTTGGTTGACAGGGACAGAACGTACTTTAAGTTTTAAGTACTGAGCAGCTTTATCAAAAGCGGAATGTGCTGTTACAGGCATTACTATTTCTGGATTTTTTATACCTTTTACATTCCTTGCATAATCCCTATATGTTTTACATGCCAATAAGATTGATTCTGTACCACCGCTGGTCATCTGAAAACATTTTATTACATCTTAAGTTAGTTCGATCGGTCAGCATTTTAAAATGAAAAGAACTTACAGTGCCACAAGAATCTTCATCTCCATGGAACAAATTACAAACTATTCTCACCACTTCTGCTTCCATCTTACATATACCAGGAAAAATATCAGGATGTAATGGATTTGTATACGATGCAATGCTATAAATATCTCCCATTAATTGTAAAAGATTAATATCAACTCTATATATAGCTCCAGACACTTTACCATTTCTCCAATCATAATCACCTAAATAACAATTATATATATTGGTATACTATAATAAGATTTTTTCAATTGCTTGTTACCTAACTGAACACATTTTTTTATTCTTTCTAATATTTCTTTCGGTTCTAAACTTTTCTCTGGAAGTTTCACAATGAAAGGAATATCTTTTATTCTCTGTAACGTTTCTTGTTCGAACGTTTGATTAATCTTATCTAATTCTTGATCAATTTTATTTCTAATAGCAGGTATAAAATTCCTTAAACTAAACAGTTGCTTCTTTGCTCTTTCTACCAGACCTAGAAAACAAAATTTGCTATTCATTGCAAATTTTTAAATGTTACTATACATTACAAATAATCATACTCTCATCTTGAAAGACAAAATTCCATAACCAAACTGTGGCAAGGATGGTTGTACTGGTTATAGTCACTATTTGCCATGGTTCTTTGGCTTCAAAATAATTATTAATCAATTGTTTCATATTATTAACACCAAGAAAATATACGTTCATCTAAAAGAAAGATAATATTATCTATATGTATTAGATGTCTTTCATCGTTTCTACATGTTTTTCTTCCAAATTATCATAAAAATTTGATCAGTAGATTCGTTACATGTTAACGTAGATATTGTAATTAAATAATCTTCAATGCAAAACAAGTGCCAGCACTCTTTCTTTATTTCATATGTATATATATACATATGTATATACGGCATACATACACATTTATACACTTGATCTTTAGCTCTTATTCTTCCTCTTTCTCGACACATTTCATTCCCTGATACTGTCTTTATCACTTACTATGTATTCTCCTTTCTTTCGTTAACGATTTATTTATGCGATTTTTCCCATGCAACGCCCCGTTTCAGAAAATTGATGAGTGAAATTCGGCAAATTTAAAAAGAACACTGGGAATTTTTAATACATACCTCAATTTTTAATTATATTATAAATATATTAAAGCGAAACGTAAGTGCACATCCCGAACAGTTTACGAGGGATTGTGAGATAAGTTATAATACTTCGATAATTCAGTGTATCAGAACATTAATAGATAGTAGCCCCCACCCTTGCTTCTGTTACAGATTACAGACGAGACGGTGGTCTGTGCTACCATTGACTAAATACAGGATAGACTTACCTGACACTATGATAAATATGAGACTTTCGTGTTTCACATTCTGAAATACCGACATCGAAAAAGATTATTGTTCCTTACGCCCTCTGCGATTTGCTACGGCAGATATGAGAATTACATATGTAATATTAAAGTCAGTTGTCGAAAGCGATAGAAATGGATCTGGCATTTTAGACTTTGCTCATATAGAAGAGCGGTTCATATAGAAGAACGACCAAACAAGTGACGACAAAGCAGGAGAAAATATATTAAACTTATAGATGATATATAAAATAAGCCACAAAGTAACTGAGAGTTGACGCGTTATTTGGGGTTCTACGAGTGATTGATTTATTTTCTGCTGCGTTGTCATTCACTTGTGTGACCGCTCTTGCCGCTCGCCGCTCTCGGCACGATCAAAGCCTTACATGACGTACCGTGTCTCATATTTCCTAATACCGTTTATTCTATACACGGTTTATCATCAACTAATCCTGTTATCTCAATTAACTCTTCGTCGGTGCCTGTATGTCGACCATGGTTTGAGTGTGCTACATTTATTTAAACAAAAGCATAGTTCAGTCGAAATTTATATAAAAATAAAGGATAACAATCTTGTGTAGAATTTCATTCTTTATTTACAAATATTTGATAATCAATGAATTCGGTAACAAAATTGCATTGCACAGATGCAAAATGATCGTTCAGCGCTAACAATAAGAGCACAAATTAACAATATTATTATAGAAGGGACAAAAGAACTAATATTGATACGATTTTCACTATGACGTGTTGTTAATCAGTGCAATATAATAATTATTCAATTGCAAAGTTTTACACGTAGCACAGCATTTTTATCTCTATTTGTATGCGCATAATTTCAGGCATAATCTCAACGTTATGCTCATAGAGAAACCGGAATATATCAACAAAAGACAGAGGAGATATCACCATCAGTTAACGAACATGTAACATATAGCAAATATGATTTGTTGAGCTAGGCCGAACATTTTCGAACTCAGTCACGATTGTGGCGCGTGTAACTACATATATTACCTATAGATACAAACGCCTTAGACAGATTATGTGAATCTATAGTACGTTAAAATACACAATTGCTGTACAACGATAGAATATCAAGAACGATCCGCTGTGTGATGTTTCTGTTTTAGTTCGGTACTCAACTTTCGTATTTCGTAGGTCGTTCCGTTTGATTAATGTATACGTAGGCACTATTCATCGCCAGAAAGGTATGTCGATGAAGATTCAGTGATAATCGAAAAAAATATTATACGACAATTTGTTATTCTTTTTTGTTGAACGCATGGATTTTCATTTATGCGTGAATATTGTCTCATCAATGATGACACAGGTGTTAAACGTTAATAGATCTTCAAGGAGAAACTAGTGCGTGGCGGAAATGACTAGTCATTGATATAGATGTTGTTTGTATGTAGCGTGACTCAAGTCCGTCTTGCTCGGCGGGTGTAATAAAAGTGTAACGTATGTGAAAGGTAAATAGGTCACATTGATGCGATTCTTTCCTTGATATCAAAAGTTCGTGCAGGTATGAAAAGTTAATTATCGCGAAGCTTTCACCGTAACGTGACGCAATATTCTTTTTCTCTTTCCTCTGTACGGTTTCGTGTTTTCTTTCTAATCCCTTCACTGATGAAAACTCGTACATCGTGCGACCATATCGAAAAGTACAAACTGACTTATAATTGTTGCGATGACGCATGGTCGACAGCTATAGTAAAATCTATCATATGGGGAGTACATATTAACCAATAAGTACGTAACCGTATACCTAGGAAATAATATTTTTAAACATACAAAAACGAACTCATGAAGAATTTTAAGGTAACACTCGAAAGAACATCAAGAAACGATTGTATAATTCAATCGATCGATACTATTGTTTTGAACGTGCGTGTTCTGCATTTTTCTCGTTTTCAGATGTTCATTACTCCTCTATAAACTCGAAATAAAAAAATTTTTCACACGCGCTAAGCTCGTGGACGTACAGAGAGAAATAAGCGGTAGGCGATACAGCGATAAAACTAGTGACATGTGACGATAAAGGCAAAGCCGATACAAATGTTGACACTTACCGCTTACCGCTCTCTGTATGTACGTAGCCTAACGCATGCCGTTGTTTATTCCATGGATTAGCGTCTTGTATTTCACGGTGCAAATGCAACAGTGTATCAACGAAAAACCAACTTGTTGTTGATGATACATCACGTACTTTATAAGGTGCTATCTACTACTGGTGACGACAATATAATTCAACATACAGCGTTGTCTAGAAATCAAATCAACCGTACGATTTAGCGGTTCTATATGTATACCGACGATTACTGTCAATACGTGGCATAAATATTTGTATATTTATCGCTAACTCGTCAATACGGGGCGGCCTGACTATAATTAATTGTAAACATCGTCGAAAAAAAACCTGCCTTATTAAAATTGCTTGTATGTACATACATGTCTGCAAAAAATAGGGTTACAACCAGTATAACACACACCGTTTTGTAAGAAACCAAGTTGTTCTACACCTTCATTTGTCTTACGTATATTTACGTCAGCAAACGCCGTTTTAGACGCGCGCATGAATCACATATAAGAATATGGCAACAAAAATTACAATTATGTTATTGCACAGCTCGCATTCTCGTTTGCTATCGTTTCAGGCGCCCCACTCTCGAAATTTCGATTCGACGAAAAAATAACTATCCCTTAAGCGTTTTTCGTGTAGGCCTGAAATCGATATTTCTCTTTTTCTTTCCTTCTTCATTTCATCCTTCTGTCTTGTTCACATTACTTATAATTAGGCGAATGAAATACAACGATAATGGATTAAGTACAGACGACAGTTAGTTTGTTGCGTATACACACTGGCATACTGGCGGAATACTCTCCCTCTTGCACTGTCTAGTTACATTCTTTTAATTGGTCTTTTCTTTCTTCTTCAATTTGCCCTTTTCGTCTTCCGTGCTTCGGCGAGAACGAGCACAGGTCGGACGTTATATCATTTAGCGTTATTTATTTATTTTTTTTTTCTTTTTTCATTTTACAATACGCCTTAAGAAACATTTAATCGAACAACATGAAACACTCGCATGGTTATGCGAGCCCGTCTATATATATGTATATAAAATTCGAATATACTCGGCGGACCGCAAAAATGAACGAGACGAACTTTCAACAGCATCACTAGACTCCAACGTGTCGCATAAACTATACAAAAATCAGCGCTCGAAGTTGGGAGAAACGAAATATTTTGGACGGTACGACGAAGAAGCATTTCAACAAAATCTTATCCTTTTTACCACGGTTCCTTGTCACAAAATCTTTGTGTTCCGCTCAAATTCAAATCACTCTCAATTGTACATTTGCTAAAAAGAGATTCTGCGAACTGACGTATCGTGTTATTTTAATTTGAAGGTGTTGATTCGAGAGACTTTCGCGTAAGGCCTTCGGCAGGTTTTACGTTTCTATCTTTCTCTCCTTCTCCTTCTTCTTCTGCTTCTCCTTTCCCTTTTTCTTCTTCTTCTTCTTCCTCTTCTTCTTCTTCTTCTTCTTCTTCTTCTTCTTCTTCTTCTTCTACTTCCCCCTTTATTTCTCCTTCTCCTTCATCCTTTTCCTTTTTCTCAAGTTTCTCTTTATATCTTTTCTGTCGCGTTACAAGGCGCTGCAAGGCTATGAGCTTCCCTCAACTTTGAGATTTCCATAAAAAGATCTCTGTATCGCGATTGAACGCTTGTTCGTTTACTTAATGATTTATTCCAGTTCGTCACTAGTAGTCTTAATAATAGAAAGACATGTGGCTCTATAACGTGTTCAAAAGCTATATTTAAAAGTGTCTTTTGTATTCTCTTCTTTACTACGTGTAGCATATTGTTACAGTTTTTTTTAGCCTTTCTAACACTCGCGCCATTTTTCTTCTCTTTCTTCTTTTGGTTTTATTTGGACGAATAATTTATGCAATTACAGCATACGTTCCAAGCGATATTCTTAGAATTCGCTTTTACAATGTCACACGCGAACCTGAAAAATAATCTTACTAATCAATTACGAAGCAAGAAATCAAGAAGTGACTCTCATACTTGAATTACCAAATGAATTACCGGTGACTAACGATTACTTGAGTCGTTGTGTAACATTAGCCAAGGCAACGGCAAATGCTTGTAACGCGCTGAAAGGATATTGAAAATCCAATGTATAGGCGTTTCCATCTATCCTTCCAAATTGCATGACCTAGTGTAATATCGAGGAAAATGTGTTATTTGATCACGTGAAACAGAACATTCAAATTTACTATTTCTATACCTGTCGCCCTTTGAATTCTATTTGAAAGTTTTTAGCGCTTTCCTGAGTTACTCTGCCACCAAAGTCAAGCTGATATACTTGACTGGATTCATTCCACATAGGTGCTTTATTGTGCATCACAAGCTCCCGCCGCACTGCTTCTGATTTGTTACCAGATATCCCTGCTCCTTTCTGCTTTAACTGTATATCGTAATTGAAAGTAGATTAGTCTTTGTGTAATCGATCGATTGTTTATTTAATAAACAATACAGCATAATTGAATGACAGTGTAATATATTTCGAATCTCCGAGATGAAATATTTTTATAGAATTTATGGTTGAATTGTAATGTGCAGCCTATATTAATATCTAGCCTCTTCTTGTTTACCTTTTGTCGTAACTGTGCTTTTTGAAACGTTTCGAGATCTCTGTAATTCGTTGACGAATCGTCTTGTAAAAGTCCTTCCTCGTCTGAACTCTCGCCTCGACTTTTTCGTGCTTTTCTACTTAACAAAGGACTCGATAAAAGTCTTCTTCTAATTGGCGAAGCAGATGCTGGTCTTTTACCTTTCTTCGAAGGCGCTGGACTACTGGGCGAACTTCTGGGTAATCTAAGGAAAATGTTACTTGTCGGCGGAAGGTTGTCTTTTTTATCGAATAAATGATACAAATCTTATAATGTAATTTGCCTGGTGGATGGACGAGGTGACGGTGGTGGCAAAGAATGACTTTCATCGAAATCTCGAAGTCGAGCTGCAAGACCGTCTAAGGATGATGCCAATGAACCACTTGGACTGGATACTCTGGAATATTAGCACGCGTTATTAATGTGAAAACTTCAGTTTGCATGCATTCTAAATTCAACAAATTTAAATTAAAACAAATATTGGTAAGATTTTCCATAAAGAACGAAATCGCCGAATAAAACCAATAGAACCTAACCCCAACCTAACCCCAACCTAACTCCAATCACAGAATAACGAGCCTCAGTAAGTGGTCCTAATATCGGCTCACCTGGCAGGAGAATTACAGCTCTTCAACCGTGTAGATTTAACTTGAGCAGAATTAACTATACTGGCGGCTGTAACGTATTCTGTACACTCCCTAGGCATCTCTGTCGCGTCTGGTAATTTCTCCAAAGGTTTGTCACTTTTGTCTTCGACAGTCTCGATATTCGTAGCTCCTACAATCTCTTCAGCGTGTTCAGGCAATTTTGGTGGCAATGATATTTGTTCGTTAGGCGGAAATATGTCACTAGAGTCTAAACTTTTTGATTTGCCACAGTTACGAAGTCTCGGCGATTTTGAAGATTGCTGTCCAATCTCTTGTTGAGTTTTATTCTTTTTCCTCCTCTTGGTTTTTCTCGATACCAAAACCAACCTCTTATTAGGTGCCTCTTTTCTAAGCATTTTTAAGGCGATATCGCAAGGGACCAGTTGCGCGTCCACCATGTCCAAATAACCGACACTGCAACTTCTGACTATAGAGTCGTTGACGCAGAGTGGACCGATACTGACAACCGTCTGAGTTCTGTGAACTCCTCGCGACTGATCGAACGCTTCTGCTTCGCCGCGACACTCTTCGTCGATGAAGCGCATTTCATCGACCCGGTCGGTCGTAGAATTACAAGTATTCGATTGACTTGCGTTTGTTTTACCGCACGATTCTGAGTGAAACTTTGTGGGATCTTTTAATCTCGTAATGCAGTATGAACAAGACTGTCCGATACACTGATCGATGTTTTCTGGGAATTGATAAGAACAGGCCGGCGAATAATTGCTCGACAAGTGTATACCATTCTTGCCCAAAGGACCATTATTCGTTCCGTGTTGATTGCTCGAGTTCGCCTGATACGGTGTTTGACTAATGTTTGTCGAACTGCTGACGTTATGGTTATTTTTACCCTGAGTTTCGTTCACGTTGCTCGAACATGCGATATTGTGCAGTCCATTAAGAAATATTGTTTGCGACTGAGGAGGACAGCTGTTGTTTGTGCTCAGACCATTTACGATGACACCTCCCTGAGAATGACTACTCGATGCTTCTGTATTCGAGGCCTGTCCATTGTGCATTGGCATGGGAATGATAGTCGATGGACAGTTAGACGTTAAAACAGTTTTATCGTCCTGAGAAATCTGATTAAATTTGTTATTCTCGAGCTCCTTCTTCGAGACGAGTCCTGGCTGATCGGCAAGGGCGGTTTTCATCCTCTGAATGTTATTCGAGTAATCGGTACCCGGGTTCGACGTTGCGATTATAGTCTGCGTGGGCGCGACCGCATTTTTCGGAGATTGAAGAGCCGGTACGTCGCAACATCTCGGTGGATTGTGCCTGGGTGGAGTTCGGTAAGTGTTTGTGGACGCAGTTCTCAAGTTCTCGTACAGATTGCCCATTTCTTGCAAGTCCACGTAAGGTAACTCGTTTTCGAAATTGTCAACCCTGGACAAAGCGGTTGGTAAAGACTCGTTGGTCATAAATTGATTGGAAATTTGTGATTTCGGGCGATTGGAATTAAGTCGCGTGTTTCGGGGCGTCATTGGTGCGATCGGAGGAGGCTGCGCTTCGGACGTGTTTCTCGAGGCAGCTTGAAATTCCTGAAACGATTCTTCTTCGTCTTCGGAGAACAAATTCGGGTTGAAAGTTGGATCTGGGCCTAACCGAGAAAATCGATCATCGAGTTTTGTCATCAACGAACTTTATTTTTGTTTATGATCATGGAAATGGTATAGACGTACCTGCAGGCACATCATCTCGTAGCTCCGTCATCACCAAAGTCATTTGTCGTGGTTGTAGATGGAGCAACGACGTTCGATAAGTAACCTGACCCAAGTTGGCGGGCACCGAATCCGCCAGACCGTGAAACTTGAATTTCGTGCCCCAAATATTGGACGTTACTTCGACCAACCTCGCGTGCTGCAAACAGATACGTCTTGCAACACTGATTGTCACACGACTGATTTTCCAACACCTTGAGGCTCAAAGGGCTCGTTAAACTTTGCTATATCACGCAATTCGTTAATGCTCGAGTTTAAGTGCATTGCACCGTACCAGTGTTGAAATGAGTTAGAAGTACTCGTGTGCGGTGTATGGGGCACCAACAGAGGAGTAAAACGTGTTAAGAGGTGTCACAAATAACAGTGAAGCTACGTTGATTACAATATCCTAACCTCAATATGGATAACTGGTATTACACATCAACTGACAAGGACTAGTGTTAACAAAAAAAAAAAAAAAAAAAAGTATAAAGACTCGTTTGCGTTTTATCTCGCAAGTATCTTGCGTATCTTTTAGACTCGTATGCCGCGCCGCGCTGTACTGTGCTGTGCACTCCTAAATCGTTCCATTTTCACAAAGATCATCGACCATGATTCGTCGTCGTGAAACGCGAAATTCCAAGAAATATTGGAACTATACTTTACCTCGGGTAAGGTATCCACGTAGGTAAGATCGTCGGTTTCTTCGTTCGATTTTTCTTCTTTTTTTCTCCTGCTTTTCCTTTTGTTCCTGGGTGATCCACACAGGTCGGCCGTGTCTTTCTCTGTATCGGAACCATCGCTAAACGATGGACACTGTGACGTGTCTTCCACGACTTGAAGAGTATCTTGGTTTTGTGGATCGAATATCACGAATTCTGGCCTGATTTTGCTTGTCCTTCTGCCCTTTAGAAGAGGCACTAGACCACCTAGATACTCCAAATATAGCGTATAACATGGTACCGGTTCCACGGCGTGTCTGAGCATGGTGCAATGTAATCTTCCACCCCCTGGAGGTGGACGTGACACGAAACGTCTTAATTCCTTTGGTTCTGGCACGGAACATCTGCAAATGCATATTATTAGACTGTTTTATTTATGTTTTATTAACTGCGTAAAGCTGTTGTCTTTCAATTACGACTATTAAAATATATAAAACGACTGTTATGTATGAACTATTACGTATGACTGTGTATCTATATGTATAGTTGTTGTAAGTATTAACAGCTTCGAAGGGAAATATAATTATATGATGTGAATTATTCTTTACTTTTTTAGTAACCTTTGTTTATAAAATAATATATTATGAAATCAAATATTTCATTAGAAATAGAACAAGGCTCTATAAAAATTAAATTTGTTAAGATCAAAGTTGGTCACGTTCATGTTTCATCGAGGTTAAATTACAATTTGCAATTTTTAAAATTTGACGATGAACACATTTAGTCTGGATGATATCGTAAAACTGCCGTTTATTACCGTTTATTGTTGTTTCTCGACACGAGGAACAATATATACGTGTAAACATTCTAAAAAGTATTCTTTCATATGATCAGTTTACATTTTACAGAGATGGAATAGCATTTTACCTTATTGTACTGGCGAAGAGAGCAGCCACTGATGCTCTTAATCTCGGTGGCAATGGAAGTTGCTGAACATTCGATTCCCTTGTCAAAGACGCTCTTACAGCTAAACGAGACAGCAATTGCAGAGAACCTACTCGTCTGTAGAACGTGTGCATCGTATATCAAACACTTGAGTATGAAAGACAATTAGCTAGAGTAATAGTGCTCTTTTGTGAAAAGAAACGAAGTATTACCTTGACACCCATGCTGCGTGAACGCGTGCCCCGGTCGCAACGAAAAGTCTTCTATCGTTATGACCCCATGTGAGCGCCGATACTGCACACTATGATATAAATATGAAACAGACGAGTAGAAATAACGCGTATACCATCGTAATGTCTCGGTTAGATAAGCGCGGCTGCCGTTCTGAAAAGATACGTACCTGCGTGTATGGTATCGCAGCGGTGTACACAAGGGTACCGGCCACTGAATAAAACTTTAAGAGATTCGTGTATTCGTGCGGGCTATTCTGACCGTTATCCGTATCCTTCGTTCCCGCGATTGCCAACAATTTTCTAGAATTGCTCCATTCCGCGTGCAAGGGAGCTTTCAGCTTTGTACGTATCGTGATAGGCGAGACGTCGTCGAATGAACGCAGCATAACGATGCTCCCGTCAGCCAGGCAAACCGCCAGAACGTAATTTCGATCGTCTATAAACATAGGAATTTGCGCTTCATAGTTTTACTCTGCGTTATAAGATATAGTCACAGATGCGACTCGGTAATAATTTTAAGCTATAAGAGTTGAACTTTATTAACAGAGCGCTTCGATATTGTATATGAAATTTGTAAATTGATTAATTCTAAATATAATATGCACTATGCAATATGTGCAACTCTATTTCTTTGAACTCAACAACGAACAAACGACTTTCGAAGTTTATCGATTATCATTTTTCGTACAAGTAATCTTATTACTTAACTCTTAAGTGAAACTCTTAAGTTTCAGTTCAGATAAATGAATTCAATCGTTTAATTATTCGGAAGATCGTTTAATTAGGGACAAATTATTACAATTTCGTTCTAATAAATTGCGGCCCAAGCAGAAGTGAAATTTTACATTATTAAGATTTATAAAATAGATTAATTCCTCTCATCAAAATCTGTAGTTTTTTTTTTTTTTTAATTGATAGTGAAAGTGCGAGGTTGTCAACGTTCTTTTCCTCATTAAAAGAAAAATCTTTATGTACGTTATGTATATAAAAATTAAAACTACGCATATAATATAAAAGTGTTTGTACGTATGTATAATACATACCATTATATTACATATAAGTGTATATAACTCGTTAGAATGCAACAATTCGCACATATTAAGCTGATAAAATATACCGATTCTAATAGTTGAAACACATTATTTATAGGCTACACCGGCGCCGTCGTACCTTTATGAGGTCTATCATTCGTTAAATCGTCATCTCCTTCTTCCATCGTAAACTTCTCGGCACTCCAAGCCATCGAGGTGACACCCGCTGCCAATTGTACTTCGGACACCATTGCTCCGTGCACGTCCATTACTATTAATTGTCCAGCCGTTGTCCCGAAATATACCTATGAATATCAACATCAATATCGTATGCGTTAAAAAGAGAATCTAATTTGTGTAATAATTTTATCCATTGACGAACGATGGAAATTATTTAGCCATTCGGCTTTGTCGATATTTGATCGCCTCAACTTAAATATTGGTGATGATTGGTAACACGGTCTGAACTTTTATCATCATTAAGAAAGCTTTTTTCACATTTCTAGTTTACACTGATTTCGAGAAAAAATTACACAATATATGCATAATGTGATAATTGCACAAAAATCAGGACCCAAATGTTGCAAATTATGCGGAGGTGGAAATGTTTCAATTCCTCGAAACGGAGATCTTAGACGTTCCGTATAGAAGGACAACGCGAGTGACAGAGAAAGCGGCACTGAGAATGGAAGCATTTGGCAAACATCAATGCTCACGACTTAAAGCCGTGATCTTTAAATCAAAAGACAACATTTTTTATTTTCGATTTGTGATCAATCAAGTTTTTACCAACATGTTTGTTACATTCTTCTAATTAAAATGACACCAAACACGATTTAATTCGGAGCATATTTGCGCACTTAATAAACGATAGTTTAAATGCATATCAGTAAGTAAATATAATTCAAATTATATCACGTTTTGGTCTCATTTTAACCTGAAAGATCGTACAAATGCGTTACTAAAAGTTCAAAAGTAAAAAAATTATACTTTTTGAATTGGTACTTGGATACATTGTTTCAGACATATATAACATTGGATCGTGTTACACTACTCGATCGCAGCGGGTCGTCGTGCTGCTCGATGCGTCAAAGGAACCTTCCCCCCGTAGTAAAACGACGAATGTGCAATTGTAAATGCAGATCTTTTTGTGCAATTATCGAACTTTTCTTGTATTTTTTTTTTCTTAATTGTATTAGTCCCTCAGCAGGGTCACCCTGATGATTTTAAATGAGTCTGAATTCTATAAACAACATATGTACATGTTAGGGGCAATGCACCTTCGTGATATAATATAATGGTAGATATAGTCTGCCGCTATTTAGCCTTACCGCAATTTATGATTGGGGCGTGGGCTTAATAAGAACCTCGGCAGGGTGCTTCAGCGAATGTTTGGAAAGTGGATAGCCGGCGACACCAAGTCGCGTATGAAATGTCAATGATATGACATATTATCATATTATCAAACCATTGACATGGATTTAGGGCATGCGTGAAATAGTTTAGCGATGGCAAGTGACGTAACGTTCCATTGTCAATGAATAGTAACTTTGTCTAAAGTACTAAAAGATCTTCTTCTATAAGCGGACTGTGACTGTGACACTGTGAGAGACCACACAGCACTTACCCTAGAATCTCGAAAGAGTAAAGAGTCTTTCCTACAAAAAGTTCTAACATACATAATAATGTAATCCTTTATTTACCTGTTGATCGTCAGGCGTCCAAATACCACAGGTGATGGTAGCTTTGTCGTTCAACATTGATGACCAATACCTTTGACCAGCAACGCTGCCAACCAACACGAAACCATCCTGTAGGAGAAGAACTTTATTCGTTTTCTATCTTAAATTAAATGTTGAAAGAAAAACAGGAAAGAATAATGTACCGCAATTGTGATTATTCTTTCTCGTCAAAAGCATTTTATAATATTTTGATAAAAATATTACAAGATATTATGAGATATAATGAGATTGTTTCGCAAGAAGAAGAAATATGGAGAAATATTGCAATAGCTAAAACTAATTATTGTAAAACAAACCTTGAAGAACTGTTCATAGATCTTATAATTCATGGCAGTTACTTATTATAGAATTTTAGAAGTAAGATCAGAAGTAAACGAAATTGATATTTTCTATTGATAGTCTTTTCTAACTTTAATTCGAATGTTCCAACGAGTGTTTCACATGAACAATCATTTTTCAAAAGCTAGTAACTTAATTACAAGGAAAAGGAGCAGAATATGTCAGTCAACAATTCATAAGTATGTATGTAAGTAAGTCAATTCATAAGAGCTAAACCTTAAGCCTTCTACTTTTAACCTTCGAAGGCCGAAGCTTTGTACTTTATACGATGTTTGTCTTCAAAACGTACACTCAGCTTTTAAAGTTGATCCTTGAAGCTTCGAAAACTCGAGTTCTATACAACGTTAATTCACAGCATTTACATCGAATCTCCTATTACTTTGTGATTTCAAAGTACCGGATATGCAATACGTTGGTTTTATTATTTATATGAATGAAAGTTACGAATTAGATCAGATTCAGTTATCGTATGAATTTCGAGTCCTTTGTTTCATGTCTAAGGAAAGTTTTCCATGCATCTTTTAACTTTCTTTCGACAAAAGGTTCAACAATGGACATTCCATAAAACGAATTACCCTGTAGCATATAAGAGCCATTCGTCCGTCGTGAGACCATGAGAAATGAGTAACTGGGGTGCTTCTATCGTTGATCAGTTCTATGCTCCATCTTCCCTCGTACTTGATCCACACGAAGATCACGCCGGAACTATCACACGAGGCTAACTTTTGATATGGCTCGTTCCATTTCACTAGTATTACCTGCAACACAAAGTTCATTAATGTACATGTATAATAATAAACAACATTTCGTTAAAGTCATCTGTCACCTAAACATCGACGGTAATGAATCGTATTATTCACTCTCTTTTGTATTTTTTCCTTTCTTAGTCCTTTCTTTTCTATCGAGTTAGCAAAGTTTTGCTCTCGGCGATTCGGTATTCCAAAAGTGAAAATCTTTAATCCGAACCAAGTTCTGGGTCAGTTCGTTCTACATAGCCTGAAAACACCAAGGCCTCGTCATTCATAGTGTAATTTGCCTTGAGCGACTGGTTTTACTCACTATCAATCACCGTTTGTAGCAAGCGTGAAATCGCCGCGGCATAGGCAAATTAAGATCAAGCCTTCAAATATAAACTCTCAAAATTAAAATTCTATTTTAATAGGCAATATTAGAACTATGATTGCCGAAAAATTTTATTTAAATATCGCCTATTACAGGAGAAACAAGTGAAAAGGTTTAAGAATTTCAAAACTTTTAATTTTTTGCTTTTCTATTCTACAAAGCATATATCTAACGAACAATTTGTCTCGTCTTAAAAGTAGCTTACAAACAATGAACAATCGTTCTTTATTTCGTTTTGTTATTTCTATTTGTTTCTTCGTTAGAGGGGTGTATTACATTCGTAAGATGAAAGATAATCCGAATGTCGGGATCAGTGTCTCGCGGAAAGATTTCAACTGCAGTCAAGATATCAATTCGGTCTCTGCATTTTTCGCCATTGAAGTAAAAAATCATTGGACGGAAACGCGAGGTTTGCTTTCTCAACCTTCTTTTCTTCTCCTTATTGCGACGTCTAATTTCAAGCCCTGCGACAGCCAAACCGCTGTGTTCTCACCTAATTGTACTTCCACCAACAGCTCATAGATTCGCACTACCATTCTCAATATTCTCACGAGCGTGGGCTCCGAGTTACAGTGGACAATCCTGTATAATTAGTATTTTAATAATCTATTAAAAAGTGGTGTCAAAGTCGGTTATCAGTTTGCGACGAGCCCTCGAGTTTGCGACGCAAACGCAATTTCTTTGATACCTTCGAAATTCGAAGTGAGTAATGTATACATACGTATACATATGTATATTAGACATTTTTATATCGGAATATAAAAAGCAGCGGTCGAACGAGTTACTCAGGCATTCGTTCAATACCATGAACTTTGCTTAGATATATGTTGCATAATCCTTTGTGGACACTCCGCGAGTAGTTAAATATGTCCTCTGCATCTTGTTTTCTTTTTCGTCGGGTATGTCGCATTCCCCCGATTGTGTGATTACCACCTATTCCCTTCAATTTTTCCTAAGAAATTAGTTAACTAGGCATGCGTCGTATCGTCAATTAACACTCGTCGCGTCCCTCGATGAAAAGAGAGAGAAAAGGAACGAAAGTGCATAAATCCGTGGTACCATTCCATGATCTTTTCTCAATCTTCACCAGCATTCTGTTTGTGTCGCATGCTAGACATAATGCAACTCTGGATCTTTTCTACCTCTCCTTCTTTGTTTTTTCATTCTTTTGTCATCTTGCAAGCTGAAGATGTCTGCTGTATAACGCTCGAAACGTCTAATGCATTGCAGTAAAAACTGCGGCAATCTAATGCGGCTGTATTTAATATTTCTCAGCCAAGCATGTTTCGTTAAATCAATGATGTTCCTTTTCACACAGTCAGTCTTTTTCAATGTCAAGGTAAACGTATGCGCCACATATTTGGAAGGAGAAGATCTCTCTACTCTTTTTGGCTTGATTTCCATATTGCGTGATATATTTTCTGTCCCGGCGTTCACGTCTCAGCAGGTCCAAATATGACCTCGCGTCGCAGCCTGACGCGACGCCAGGCACGCCACACCATGTCAAGTTCCGAGTATCCAGATTTATAAGATTTACTCACGATCGGCACATGCCAGTGATCCAATTATCGTGCTGCGTCACTTTGCTTTTTCAAATAAATTAAAATAAATATAAATAGTTTGAAAGTGGAACGATCTGTCTGCTAGATCTGCAGTCAGCAGCAGTCGAACGAAAAAACTAAAATGATTTGGACGTCCTGCGTAAGTACGTATTTCGCGTCATGTATACATTTCGTGTCATGGGCATAATCCATTCACCCATGTTTGAACTTTGGACGCTCCTCGTAATTAATTACTTCAGAACGGCGTATTCTTTTGATAGAATTCGTTAACCGAGTTCCTTGCATCCAATGCTTACCAATGTTCGTTTAACATTCCGCCTAGTCGTTCCTTTATTACAAAAGTTGAAGTTGACGATTTTACGACAAGATCCCATCAGAAAGTTAACAAATACCTATTTTTACCTCTGTGATTAAGCATTTTTATGGCAAAAATCGACTATATACATTAAATATTCTAATTGAACAATTCGTATTTTGCTGACTAATCTTACTGATTTAACTAATTTTTAAATATTTATTTAAATAACATGCACGTAGTATATGCTTAACTAAAATTATTAGGGGGTAATAATTATTATTTCCTCCATACGATTAATTCGGTTTGCAAAAGTCGTATGAAAAAAGGAAAGGAAGATAGAAAATAAAGAAAATTGCAATTTAACGATTGCAAAGTAGCTGTGAAATTAGAAATAAGAGAATGTGAAAATTGCAAGCTGTGATTAATGAGCTATGATGGCAAAACTAGCACGTATAATCGTGGTATTGATTCGTAAAGGTTCGGACCGTAGTTGGCACGGCCTAGAACAGAAATAACTGACAATACATGCATGTGCCTGTGAGTGTCCGCTTATACATGAAACTATCTGCAGAATAATATGATTCTGTTGCACGATTGCTTTCTTCGGCCTGGTTAGCTAAAATTCGATTCTCTTCCTATCGATCACCGCCTGGGGTTCGTTTGTCTAGAAGTCTAGATGTCTAGATAGATTTAGGTTTTGACGTTGCGCGCGATGTTTACTTACATTTTATATTCCTCGAGAAATTTATCGAAATAATTACGTGTCCTATCGCATTTCTTCTTTTTTATTGTACAATAAGATTGTATAGTCCAATCCTGGTGGGCAACAGCTCAGTAGAAACGGTTTCTGTTCGTGTTACGAATGAACGACGGATGTCTCGACGGAATGTCAAATGTGGAAATAAGTAATCCGTCAAATACCGCTTAAAATTGCTGTGTCAAATTAGCTTAGATTGCCGGTGGATTCCTCCGGGTTTACGGCTCGATCATATTGACAAGACACACGGTGAAAGATACAGGTGGGTTTCTTGTTTCTTCGTTCGTTTGCTCGATATAATAGAATTTATTGTGAAAACGATTTTAAAACGTATTATGCACTGGCATAGAACCCATAGTTGTCCATCAAAGTTTTGCGAAATCGAAACGGAATTTCTATTGAGCAACAGGTGAAAACAATAAGGTGGTTATGTAGGTAAAGGAGTTATTAACATTAGCGATACTTTTTATGTACTATTAGATTTATTATCATTTCCTTTCCACTTTCCAAACGTTTATAATATTCATAACGTATCGCATATGTTTCATAAGTAGATCGATTAATTGTGTGTAATTATAAGCGAATAGATGAGTCAAATATTTAAACCTGTTTAAATTTGTTTTGGAGTTATCAAAAAAGGAATGATCAGTTAATAATAGAGGTAAATATACATAATAAATAAAATCAATAAATGGTATTATATCTGTCTGGTCCTGTAGTTTTCATTAATAAATTACGAGCATATACACAATGTGTATATACACAATGCCATTCTGTACACTTGTAAAACAGAGTGAGGAAACTGAAATTAACGTGTTCAATAAATATGTACAAAGTAAAAATCACAATATGTATATATCGTTACTTACTACATACGTAGGTACATATATTAAAATAACGCCACAAATCAATAAAGTTGGCCATGTGCATACAGAAAATAAATATAACTCTATGTATTTAATATTTTATTATTTACATTTAATATTTCTTTTATTCTGAAACATAATTTCAAAGGGAATAATCTTTTAAGAATGGGTCAAATAGAAATAGTAAATAGAACATAACAAGTAATTATCATCTTCTGGGCTTAAAATATACATTCTTCGAGACATTGTCTCAAGTACTTTTTCACAATAATATATCGTTTGATCTTTCAAAAATTTTTAATTTCAATTATAATATTTTTACAGATACATACGTACTATGTAAAGGTAAATGCAAACTGTTCAAAGTATATAAACTCGAGCAAATCATTGAAATTTAACGTATGAACATATATACTCGCGTGCGTATACATAATTAGGTAGCCGTTATTTGCGATTGTTGAACTGACCAATTGAGCGGCGAACTAGGTAATGACGTTAGATGATACACACTGACATTGAGTCAACTCGGCATACACAGGAACAATGAAAGAAGGCCATTTCGACTTTAATCAAGGCGCTTGAAATTGGAATATCTTTGAAGACAGGATTGAGAACCACTATCCTGAAACAGCACTGCGTGCCAGATCGATACCACGTTGGCTACCCTTAAACTCTGAAATGTAGACCGAAGTAAATGAAAAGGACACGTTCTAGTCCTTTGCTATGATTCACGAAAGGCACAAAACTGAAATTCATGTATATAGTGTTATTCACATTTAAAAAGGATGTGTTATATTATTACATTATGCTATAAATAAAATGCTACTGAACGACGCATAACGAAATCTAAAAATATTACAATGAAAATGTAATAGAGAGACAATTTTTACCAAGGATATTAAAGTATTAAAGTTAAAAAGGTTTCCTTCCGTAAAAAGTGGTGAACGCTATAATAACCGGGACAATACTGATAAGAACGATGAGAGATTCGTCGCTTTGGCGCGATGTTCAGTCACCGGGAATCATTGTCAGACCAAAACTTCGATTGTCCGTTTCCCGAAGGAGTAAACGTATCAGACAGTCACAGCCGTCTTCCTTTGCATCTGTAAAGCACTGTAAAGACCACGAGACAAGATAAATGGAAGAATAGGGGTGCGTATGTGCTTATCTTTAATACTCCCTCCAGGTGTGTATGTACATATGTACATATATAATTCTAAGTAGGTTCTCGAGTATCTACGAAAATAAAGACGCGATCAAAAAATATGATTTCACGACGAAAAGATGATTAAATGTTATATGGATGGTGAAATATGTTCTAATAACATGTAAAAATGGGACAAGAAATGGATGCGTGGAAAGTGAAAATCCAGCGGATTGCACGTTGGCAATATTGATACATATTGTATGTGACGAGCTGATGGAAGATTTGAAATACATGTGCCGCTGCCGTTGCGTTGCAGCGCTGTGAACCTATCGCGAAATATGTATTTCATGTAATTGCACGACATTGAGCTGCAAAACAGTTGCAGTTCGTTAAAACAGCCTACTGAGCCTACGGCTTAATATCGATTTACTGACATCACCTAGCCCAAAATATTCCATACGAGTCGAAAATATTTTTTATCCAATATTATTTATTGTTTATTGGTATTATTCATGGCTCGCATCCTTCCAATTTCTTTCTCGATTTAACGCGCTCGCGCATCATCTAATCTAATGGGCTGCCATGCAACCGACTGGCTTCTGTATACGCTAGCACAATGTTCTATAGCTCCTCATGGGTTTCGTTCTGTAGCGTCACAAAATGGTTCGCCGATTGAAAATTGTTGGGTACTCGTATCGCGACTGTACCTGTCAACGTGTTCTACCAGTGACTTAGTGTATTGAGAGGCCGTGGTTGAAACATAAAATCGAACCTCCTTTGGCTGCAAAGTACCGATACGTTGGTTCATATAGTAATAGATTAATAGGAAGAAATTGTATGAAAACACAGAAGGACTACATTACCGTTGATAAAACCCATACAGCAATATATGTATATGCTGTATAGAACATAAATACGGCGTTTTTATCGCTGACTCGTTATCATTCTCTATTTTGTTCCGTATGTTCTGGTTCTGTTTCATTCTACATAAACGTGAAATATTCGGAATTGCACGGCATGTTTCGGACAAGACATATTCGTATTAGACCGCGCTAGGATAGCTACACTCTTATACACACCTCATGAACAATATCCTTATATATACAAACACGAAGCGTATAGCACGATTAAAAACAAAACTCGGATACGTCGGCTAGAGTAATAGGAGATTCGTTGGTAGCTGTTATATTCACGCGCAGTTTGAATTATTCGAGGACTATTCCATCTTTGTTCTTTTATTTTCTTGGCAATATATCGTTCCAATTTTCCAAAATATGTATGCCCATATTTAACACGTACAATTTAATCAATAATTTACTTATTTTAGCTGTTCATATAAACAATAAGCTGGGCCAAATGTACCTATTTCAAGATCTATACTTTTCATGGATCTATACCTCAGACTACCCATACCTTCCACTATACATATAAATGTTCGTTGTTACGCTCGTCGTGACTTTTTATATGGTTTCGATAATATGATTGACAGACATACACGACGATGTGTAGTATACCGGGTACATCATACATCGTAGTTAACTTACTGATCATCTCAGTTACTTTTGTTAGCGGTTGTTAGTGGACTGATTAAAAATATTTTAAACATATTAAACATCTTAAAACATCATAGCTAGTAGGATTTCTTGCGTTGTTGACGTTTATCACCTTTAAGACTAACTTGGAAAGACTTGATTTTTTTTATTCTATTACGCTGCGTTTTCACTCTTGATTATACCAAAAACGTACATAAAATATAACGTATATTAGTTAGAGAAAATTGTTTCGTTATTCGCTATAAACAAGAAACTATTGTATCAAGTTTCAGTTGAGGAGCCTCTGTTATAACAATGAGAATCAATAGTAATTAAGCAGAATTAACTGCGGAAAGTCTTCGAACGTGAGCCGAGCTAAGTTTGATTCTTGGACAGGGAAGCACTTGCGACCTTGACTCGGAAACATTTTAAATCAATATTCTCACAGGCTGACATCGTTTCCACAGAGATCGTAAGAATATGCCAGGAATTAAAAAGGTCAACGCTTTTTATTAACCGCTTGAGTAGCTCGGAAACGGGGTACAGAGAAAATGAAATTACACTTTGTTGTGAACATCGCACTTTCATTGTGTTCACTACGATTGCGTGGATCAGAAAAAAGAGAGAGGGGAAAAATAAAATGTATATACTCGAGCGAGACGAAACAAAACTTACCTCGCTACGATGGCCTCGAAGATTGTAATTTGCCCTTAGCGGAAGTTCTGTGGCTCTCGTTCGACAATGGGATGTAGTAAAAGTCACTCCCACCAGACCACGAGCATTACCAGTGGCCAGCCATCCTTCCTGGTAGTAATTTGTACGGTCCAGTTTCCATCCGTCGTCCTGGTAAATACAAGAGAAACCGCCATTATTGCCGTTTACTTCGTGTTTATCGGAAGATCTAAATCATAGATATAGATCTAATTTATAATTTTTAAACACTGTTAACACACTATTGGACTAATACACTTATCATTAATAAATTAATATGTATGTTTTATATCGAATAAATCCTTTGAAGGATATATTACACTTTTAATCGCATATAGCAGGTTTTGATGGTTTCTTAATATTTGTTACTCTGCGTTGATATTTCTGAAAACATCATAGAAGTAGAGTGCACGTTGGTAATGTAATTCAATATTTTGAAACGATCGTCCAAGAAACTGAAAACGTTAAAATAGTGGATTAAATTATTAAATGAAACAAGTTTTTATTTCAAATTTCTGATTCAACATACGATCCACACGATCGTATACATACATAACCTATTTTAAGTACATACGTGTACATGATGTACATTCTGTACAATGCGTACACTACGAAGCGTACGAAGAGAAGATTCTAGCGAGTATCGATTTTCACACCTACCGGTATCGGAATTAGGAGTTGTAAAGTGTTTTAAGCGATATGTCGCTGCATTATGTATTCCAAGCAGTTCTAACATAGATAATATTTAATGGCCATTATCGCGCGACGAGGTTATAACAAGAAATTAGTGTTGGATGAAAGTAAATTCACAAGAAACATCATCTTTCTGGTATAGGAAAATGGACGGAATGTTAAAACATGTAGTGATGCATGCACCGACAACTCTAGGTTTCATGAGATCGTAATTTGTGGTGTTGTCGTATCAACACGTGTTGAAACACGTGTTCCCAAATGTCTGATTATTTTCCGATTCCAGTATTATTACCTACCACAACGATAGGAGGTATGTTGATTATAAAAAATGCAAAATTAAAGACAAAAACTAATGAATAAAAAGATGGTAATTGAGAGAAATAGATTTTCTAATTCCGCCTTATTAAAAGAACTAAAAACGAACGAATAGAGTGATCACAGAAATATTTATATATGAATGGTTCTACTTTTCAGCATCTATTAATCTATTGGATAAAGTTCGCCCAAGAATTGAAACACAAAATACAATGACGAGAGTTTACTATAAATTACATTCGGTATTGGTACCACCCTCTATAGCAGTGTCCATGGTACAGATTCGCGCGCCTGCCTCTCCTTCTACCCGTTGTATTGCGCAACGCGTCCATTTGTAATCCGCATCAAAGAGACCGCACGATGCTATGAAGTGAACCATGAGAGGCTCACGTTTCCATAGTCTAAAAATCCATCGTAGTCTAAAAGTCTAAAAGCATAAAAGATGTATGCATCGCAACATGTTTCAACGTGTGTATAGGGGCTTTTATGAATTCATTATGCAAATTCAAACAAGCACGTACTGATCCGCGCGTATATATTTATGTATATAAATGAATAATTTGAAATCAACATGTGTCATGCAATAAATTGAATTTATAAATACCACAAGATTCGAACTTTGGAATTAATTTACATACTTGCTGTAATACAAAATTTTCCTTCAAAATATATCTTTTGTTTTATAACATGGATTAGTCATTTTTAGTTAAGAGTATCGTAATTCATAAATTACGACATATCGCATCTATACTAAGCATTGTATTAGGTCATCCCATAAGTTCGTGCTGTTTTTCGAGTGGTTATATTACTTAGGTATATATGACATTAATTACGTAAACATTTCTACTAATTATCAAATGTCTACATTATAATTTGTATCGAAATTTTATTCGAATAGAGAGTTTATTTTCTTAAGCTGAACGCGAAATTATTTTTTACTTCTGCTTAACAAAGGCATAGAATCTCAAATCAACAGTGTAACGATAATTAAAGAGAATAAAAGAGGAAAGAGGGAACTCGACATACGTGTCGTAAAATAGGAGCATGAAATTCTGGTATACATTTTACGGACCGTTAAAAAATACTATTAAACAAGCACACGTTCAAGTTTATATGTATCTTACCCCATTCGCAGTTTCTAATAATAATATAGAACGTAGTTTATCATGTCATATAACAGTACATGATATGTATGTATGTACGTATGTACGTACGTATGTATATCATTGCCTTTTATTACTATCAGGGCAACCGTATAAGCAAAGTTTAGCTCTTAATCAATGAAACGTCAACAAATTCGTTCATGATATCATCTATTTGATAATGATGATAATAGCAATCGAACAGTTCAATTCGGGCAAAAACACTTACAAGATACTCTTTCTACTGTTTCGTGTCTGAATAGATATTATACAATAAAAACAAAAATATACGAACATTAATATGCGGCTTATGCTTTGTTACTGACAATTAAAGTAAAATAAATAGATATCGACATAAGCACATAACCGCGTATTTGCATCGCTAAATTTTCTATCCAATTCGTATCAGGCTGTAGTTCGTTATTCAATAACAATGGCCATGTTTTTCACTGGCTTTCATTCATTGGCGTTCGCATTCCTTAAACTGAAACAGGAATAACAATCTTCACGATCGATCAGCAAGCCAGAAAAATTTGCGTTCGGCCAGCTCTCGGCACTCCTCTCGATATTGGATGGATTTACACTCACGCCACCACCGTATTGCGTGAACTCGCACACAGCTCTACATTCTACGTGTCTACTAACACAATCTACTTAGTATAGCTTGGTATGTATTACTATTCGTTGGCACGTAACTCTTCCGCTTAAGCGCGGCTGCGTTAGGTGACGGGGTATTCAATGTTACAAGGGTTTCACCCTCGGACCTGTCATTATGTACATGTAATTACTCCAACCAGCGCGAATCCTTACAAAAAATAAGAAGAAAATAAGAGCCGTCGCGTCGTCGAGACAGATTTCAACCAACTATAACCATTCAGACCGTTCACTAGCCGGACAAAGAATCGCTCCAACTTTTAAACACCATTTTCCAACACCGAATTGCTAATTTTTTATTATATGCTCCAAGATTAGGAACCTGGCAAAACATTAACATCTCTTTTCTTTTCCACACGTCTTTCATCTTTTTTTATTACTCTTATTGACATACGACGAATTTAATCAATTATTCTTTAAAGTAATTATGCAGTTAAATGCTAGCCGACCGCCTGACACCGGCCGAATTAGTACCACTACCAATTCAATCCAGCTTAAAAACTATATTTTTGCGTATAGCTAGAATACTAAGACCGACTGTCGGTTATATTGATAGGAAGAAGTTGTTCGGTATGCTGAGCTTCATAACGTATTTCAAGATCATCAAATTCAGAGAATACGTGACACATCAACAGGTTGGCCACATTCCATAAATAATTAAAGCTAATGAATTTAATTAATTAGTTAATTATAATAAACGATATTAAAACTTATGTTTCCTTGATAAACAATTGATTAAAAATCAATTAATAATCAAATTAGTAATTACAAGTAATTTAATCTAGTTGGATGATTCTATCCTGACTGTTCTGATATTTAACTAACCAATCGATTAACAATCAACTACCTAACGAACTTAATTATTACATTCGTAATTATTAAACTTTGATAATATCTTTCCGGAAGTCTTTCTCTCATTTTCGCTGTCTTTACTCCTATGTTTTGCGTACCATCATCACTGCGATTATAACAATCAAATAGTCGCTTCAATATTCTCAATTTCCTATCATTATCACAAGTATACTCGAATAAAACCATACAAAATTCTCCACGTCCCTTAATATTTTTCTACCTGCGAAGAAACTTATCAGTCTTCTATCAACCCACAATGAAAACCGCATCCGATATACGATATCCTTTTAATCGATAGGATAAACTAGATCCGAGTAACTCACAATAATTTACGAAGTACATATGTATCTAATTAGGGGGCGATCAACACTCTTCAAATGAAACACGATTGCGCTTTCTATTCCATTCATAATCTTCAGCATTTCTTCGCTATCATGAAATTGTGAATCGTTTTGTCGAAAAGAACATTTTGTTGTGGAAATGACAATTCGTTCGCGCAGAAAGCAGCAATTTTGGGGAAAAAAGAATCAGGCTGGCTTAAGGCTTAAGACGAAGAGCAATAGAACCACATGTCTTAATGGATTTCCAAAAGGAATTGGGTCAATAAATTTTCGATAGTGTTAAGAACGACTCCTGGTTTCATATTCGCGTTACATTAATTGTAAATGCAAGAGCAAGTATGCAAGTTCTGTGTTACTTCTATCGAAGGACGAAACTATCGAAAACGGAAAAGATCGAATGGTTTATTTAAACGATTTTTCGATCTGACCCGATGAAATCCCTCCGGCAAGTAGAGTACACTTTTACACTCACTATATATTTTCCGTCGCTTTCCATACATTGGAAATTCATCGGTAACTGCATGACAGTGACAGCGTATTCTTTAGTTTGGTTGAAGGGCAGCCCATGGTGGACGGATAAAATGACACTTAACCTATACATATAAACTATAAGCAAAAAATAAGAATTACATTTGGGTTAAGCGTTATTTTATTCGATTGCCGCGCTGTTGCGCTGCTCCAAGGGGCATACTCTACAACGGACGCACAATTATTGGCAGAATTCACTGCAGTGGTACCAAAAGCTTTTTGCAAAAATTTCGGAAACTAAGGCCGAGCGATGGTTATACGTATAGGGAAAAGTTGTTCAGAATCATGCTCCTGACAATATATTCGAAAATCATTGAAATCGGCGAGGTATATGAACTCAATAATTACCTATGTTTTGTTTAATGTTGAAATTATTAACTTAATCTACTTAATCTCTTAAAAAACGACGATGTCGATACATGTACCGAGTTCGTTATCAAAGAATGAATTAATTAAATGAAGACACAAATTAGGTCTGTATTATAAGAATAACACACGAGATTTAATTATCGATCCGTTTCTGGAGGCAAACGCAGTAGAAACAGTAGTTGACAAGTAGACATTGTAGAAACAAAACAGAGATCGTTGGAAGACGATTACAGCGATAGGAGATCTAGCATAAAGATCTATAGCGGCCGTCGCCCGGTCGTAGGCCGCTTGATACATATATGTTCCAACTTCATTACACAAGCGCATCTTCCGCTCGATACATATATCGATCTCGCACTGAACGTGTTAAGAAATGTCTTTCGACGATTATAGTTTTTTTTTTTATATCTGATTTAACCGCTACAAATAATTAATTACAGAGGGTGTCCTTGCAGTTGTGAGGAGTGACTTTTCTAAAAAAATAAGTCGAAAATTCAGTACAGAAACTGTATCTTTACCGTAATTTTTTTCCATGGATTCCATCGAAGCTAATATTTGTATAAAAAGGTAATAATTTAATTAAAGATATTAATTTAATTAATTAGGAAGAAAGTCATACAGGAAAAAACGAATAAAGAGATCCGACTTTCTTTCACTTACTTCCAACACAAGCATTTCACTTTCTATAAATATTGTATCGCTTAAGTTAGAAACGTTTCGTAGTTTGTGATTGATGATTCCATCACGCGTCCTTTCAAGAATTGCTCGTTTGTGTCAAATTACGTTTGTGAAAAAGAGAGAAATGGCTGTTTTGTTGAATCGCAGAGAGATCTACTATTCGAGACACGAAGCACAAACTTCATCTTTGCCTGGTCGATTTGATTACATACGAATATACACATGTATGTGTGTTTCGTCACCCCTTCGAATTTCCCGCTCCCTTGACCAACTTAAGCCGTTTCTATGTGACGTACGCGTCTCCGCTCTGTCGCGACGAATTCCAATTTCTTCGACTACGCTGTGATGCCATGTCCCAAAATCCTCGCTGGTATCATTATATAGGATCGTAAAGCAACGAGGTCTCTCTACACTTATACATTCTTTTAAAATCGAAGGAGATGTTCTTTCCTACTAACCGGATGGCGAAAGAGTTAGGCTTCGCACGGAATCTATGACTTTCACTCACGTGTATTATTTTAAAATATTGCATGCAACGTTAATGAATATGTCGATGGCCTTCCGTTGAAAGCTGTATCGGTCCAAATCAACAAAGCAACTCCAATAAAATAGTCAATCGCTCGACGACAAAACCATACTCCTTCGTCATCTAGATTCCTTTTGCCTGTTATACACATACTGATGTATCTTATCATTTTACAAAAATTTCGAAATAATCTTGATCCATTTCATATCTATCTAGCCATATCAATTTGGCTAAAAGATTGAAACAGGACGCTGAAAACCGTTGCATAACTAGCCAGTTTTATATTGGTAGGTCTAAGATCTTTTATCATTAAAATATATTTTGAGAGAATGCACAAACAAACAAACCAAATAACACGTACATACAAACGGGCGTAAGGTGATTCCTTATGGAAAAATAAGAAGAAAATATAGAAGAACATTTTTTCGTTCGAGATTTAGTTTTTAAGAAAACCGAGTATGAAAATTTATCATAAACCGTTTCTTACATAGAGAATAGTTGTTGAATGTTCCATTTATTATTTCAAGTTTCTATTTACATATAAAGTGCCGAACAGTGCGAAGTATTGTCGCACCCCTCGAAAAGGAATAACTTCTTTAGAAACGAACAACGGTGTGACGCGTAAAAAATATTTATTTTGAAAGAATTGTAATTTGCTCGGAATCGCGAGAAAAATAATAAAGGACGCTTTTTACAAACTTTTTTTCTGAACCTGTAATGAAAATTTATTCAATACAATGAAACAATGAAAATTTCATCGAAATTTGTCGATGCAGAAACAATTGGTGGATGCCGATAGATGTAAAGATCTTTAAACATAATAGTACAGTTATAGGTCGAAAGTCGTGGAAAACTGCAATTTTCATCATTTTTCATCATTTTTATAGCTCACGGTAACATTAACCGATTGTGATAAAATTTTCGGGATAACTTTCGACATATTTTTAATTTTCATTACAGACTCAGCCAAAAAATTTGACCTCTACTATTTCCTCCACGATTCCGAGCAATTACAATTCTTTCAAAATTTTTCACGCAGCATTAAATAAACTAATCCTTGTAACTTCTCAAAAAGACATCAAATCGTTTGATCCAATCTTAAAAAAGTTATTTCGTTTTAAAGGGCATGCTAATGCTTACCTATAAGTTATGTTCATCACTATGTGCCAGGCAAATAATTGAAATATACGTTTTTAATCTTGTTCTTCGCAGTCACTCGTAAAAATAAAATATCACTAAGCAATTATTTTTTAAAACAAAAATTACCGCTGCAAACAATCAAGTATTTTGATCTCTAATTACATATTGTAGTCTTAAGAATAGACTTAGAGATGATGAATTTAAGTATGTATGTATGTACCTGATAAAGATTGGAATTATCTATTATGTAATTATACTTAAATTATCTGTAACGAAGTAATATCATATTTGAATTTAATATATCCTAATATTTTTTTCTGTATAGTCAGTCGTAACTAAGAATCAATTTGTCCGCAATATAAATACCTATTATTATTTAACGTATCTCCTTCTTTTATTTTAATTATTATTCAAATCATCAAAGTGAGTTTCTTGCAAAATTATAATTGCCCAAGAAAATCCATACCACCCTCTTTTCTTAATAAAAGTATAATCATCGAATCACAAGACTTTCATCTTGAAAACACTTTAAAAAGATGCGAGACGGGGTAAATTCGATCTGATGCTCTTGTAGAGGAAACTCGATCGAAAGACGCAACAGCCTAGGAACGAACCGGTACGATAATTTCATGCCGCGTCCAATGTCAGTTAACCGGTTTACACAGAACAAATAATGATAAATTGATTCGACGTTTCTACGTACGGTAGCAGAACGCGGTTCTTATAACTGCTATGACCATCCTGTGTGATATGTATCTTTGAGACGTTGCCATAACCACTGTAGTTAACTGCTAATCATATTTCGTCTCACGTTAGTTGAAAACAGGGAAAGTAGAAGTAGGAAGTAAATGATGAATCGAATGGTCTGCTTACATTCAACGCAAAGACCATATTACCTAGAGTTTTAATGACGCCAATCATAGTGAAAAGTGATACTTATCAGTTTGTGTTTAATGACTCGCGTTTGGTGTGTTGCCAAAACTAGAGCTGATATTGGCGAATTTGGTAGTTTTAGAATCAATAAATAAAAAACAATTGAAGAAAATTACCATAGTGAAAACACAATATATCGGCTTTTATAGCATTTGCTGATACTGAGTGTGACCGTTGGCATAATCTTATCGTGTCATATTGAGATTATTGACTCGATTCGGCTATATAGCTATATGTAGCAGTATATATGTTAGTATATATATATATATATATGTTAGAACGATATTTTAGGCTAGGCTTCATTCTGTCGGTATGGTACACATCTTTTAGCAGGAAGAATAAAATAATTTTCTATTTGGAGCTCATGAAGTTTACTAGTTTTTACGCTATATAGAATAAACATGAAACGTTGCTTCAAATAAACGTATCTACCTCTTGTTGTCTAATCCATCTTTTTCTTTTTGTTTATGTCCAGTAAAAAGAATTTACTATCAATTCTGGAATGATGAAAATCTTTTATGCTTAATCGAACCTTTTGAACATTTTCTTCACTCAATCTAATTATTCTCGTACTTTGTTATGAAAATAAAATATTTAAATCTCTCTCTTGAACAGTTTTAGTCTCATTATCAATTCACTTTGCATACAACAGATACACAGTGTGATTTCGATACTTTCCTACGTAATTTAAATCAAATCCATAATATATCAATTATTATAGTATGAACCTCTTTTACATCATTGTAATGTATCAGGTAATGTATTATTTCCAATTAACACTGAAAAATACACGGAATCGTTGAAAGAGTAAGTCACATACCTCCGGTGACTCGTCCGGCACCTTGCCCATCCAGCTGAGCGACAAGATGTTACAATCGCACTTGGCATTGTTATTCTTTTCAAAGTACAAATGCATTATCGCGTTAACAGTTGCGAAAGTTTATCAAGCCATCGAAGCAGGCATCGATCAATGCAATCGTCACTCAGCTAAGAAATGAAGAACACCTCATGCGAGCTTTTAATACCATTAGTCCAATCTACAGATATCCATTCTCAAGCTCGAGTCGATTGTTGGTCGACAATCGAATTCCAGTCTAAATCCGTCACTCGTTCTCCAGCAAGTACGCGACCAAACTGTCAAGTTTTCCCATATTGATCAGATTATACCAGTCATGTCTATCGGCTTCTTTCCTTCCAACTCTCTTGAAAAATCTCTATAAGGGAAGGACGAGTTTTCATGAAAAATCAAACAAGTGTCCTAGACACGGGCAATATTTTCGTCCGAAATCATTTTATTCGATAACCATTTAGTCTTCCGAGAACTCCGTGGTCCCCATGTTTCAAATGAATCACGCCAGGCTTACACGAGTAAGCGAGTTTTCGTCCAAAGTCATTTATATCGCATCACGGTCGCCATTTTCCCACTTGCTGTAGGTCCACCACCACGTAGCCTGGCCACGACGACGATGACGACGACGACGACGACGACGACGAC